ACAACCATAAACTGCCTCTGCTTGAGTTCCCTCGATTACACAGCTCAGTGTTCAAGCCAGAAGAAACAAACCCAGCTCAAGTGAGCACTTCCCGGAATACACAGAGGAATGGGTTTGAAAAACATCCAAAGTGGCTGATGTGAAAAATTCTTATTCAAGAGCCATAAGCTGCCTTTGCCACCATCCCTCACCTGTTCATCGCGCTGCTTCTGAACTTCTGAACCAGGGAGGCTGGCGGGGTCTTAGACGGAGACACTTAGGAGCTATTGATCCTACAAAGTATGGTGCAGGTATATGCCACTGGGGGTGGGGGGAGAACCTGGATGAAACAAGAGAAGATCATGGATCACCGCTGCTCAGAAGTTCCAGAGGTTCACCAAGAACGAGCATGTGGCTACTGGCTTCTAGTAAAAAGGCTCTTATCTTTTAAGGCAAAGTCCCCAGAAGATGCCCTTGACACGTGCTTAAACTAGTCTATTGCCGTATCACTTAAACCCTTCAGAGTCCCAGCGTGCTAATACACAGATCTCCCTTCCCCAATGAACACAATGGCCCGACTGTAGTCTTACTTGAAGGCTATTTCATTTTCTTACTAAGTGTGACTACTGTCCCATGACTGTTCACTGCAATTTCATGCTCACAGGAGTCTCAGCCTATCAAAATCGGCCCTACGCAGTATTACTCTCTCAGTTAGCCAGCCTTTTTCCCAACCAACTATAACCAGGTTTGTTTTTGCTTTTCTTCTACCATCTCATAATTGCTAAGACTCTTTACCCTTCATTGGTATCATTCGAACTTCAAAAGTGACTTCAGATGCTGGCTCGGATTGCCAACTTCTTCACGTTTCCCTTTCAGAAATCTCCCCCACCTTATCGCCCTGTAATCTAAGCCCTGGATGATTTTAGCTTTTCTTGTTTCTGCATGTGGTTCCTCTCTCTCTTCTCCTCACCTCCTCCCATTCCGGTCACTTTCCTCTTGATCTCTTCTTGTCATCCAAATCTTTGAAAATGTGTGTCTACACTGTGTCCCAGAGCTCTCTTGGCTTGGCCCTTATGCATTCTGTCTCTCATCAGTCGATGTGTGGTCTCTTCCCTACTTGATTGTTTTAACCAGCATTAAAATGATGGATTTTTTTTTCTGCTATCTGTCATCCATCTCACTGTGACGCAGATAAAGGAAAGAGTGACAATATCAAAGCTGTGGGGTCAGGTCAACTTGGGTGGAACTCTTGTGTGTTACTAGTTGTAACAACCTTGGGTAAGAGTTAACCTTTGGTGTAAGAGTAATCCCCACCTCACTGCATTGCTGGAAGAGTAGAATGCAGTATTTGTATCTGCTGTAGTTATTACTTTCAAAGGGTAATTGTTGTTACTTATTAATATCATTATCATTATCCCATTTTATCATTCTCTGCCATCTGCTCATAATTTTTCACTTTGTTTCCCAGGATTCTGTCCAGGGCCTCCCGTTTCTAAAGCAGAAGTGTCGATACTTTCCCCAGTTCTTTCATTCTCATTCTCACATCGATTCTTCTACTTGCTTTGCCCCCTTCCCTCCTATTTCCCTCTGCTCGGGTCTTTATACTTCCTCCATCTAAGAATGCTGACAACCTGTGTTCATTGACCGACTCATCGTGAACCAGAGAAACTCACTAGGCTCACTTTTCAGCGTGAGTGAAAACACTTGAGAACACCTACGGAGGGACAAGGGCACGTCCAGTCTCACAGATGGGTCATGTGAATGAAACATGTCCTCTGGTTGGCTTGAAACCCAAGTTTTCCCTGAGCTCATCTCACTGAGTCCCCACCTCTTAGGCTCAAAGTTCATCTTAAGACTTAACTCCATTTCTCAGAGCCGCATGCCGGGACATGAGGGCCCAAGGTCTGGGGTGGTTTAAGCAAAGCAGCCATCTTCAGGATCTGCACCCTCCTTTCCAGTACCCCTTCCTCCCTTTGTGCTGTCTTCTCCTATCCCCCTCCCCAGGTTCCATCCCTTTACTCCTCCCCTTTTTTGTACCATCCAACTTACTCTCAAGAAGTACTCAATGATCATTGTGATAATGGTCATGTGATGATAGCACATCATTATCAATAAGAATACACTAGAGTTGGTGGGGTGGGTATAGCTCAGTTGTAGAGCACATGCTTAGCATGCACAAGGTCCTGGCTTCTATCCCTAGTACCTCCATTAAAATAATAAATAAATAAATAAACTGAATTACCTCCCCCCCCAAAAAATTACAAAAAAAATTTTAAAAAAAGAAGAATACATTAGAGTGGAACAGCTCTTAGACTTGGTTCTACCATTTATTTATTGTGTGATTTGAGGGGCAGTCTCTCAGTTTTTCTGTATCAGATGGAAAATATAATAATACCATCTCACTTAGTTTTTATGAAAATCCAATAAGATGATGTGTTTTGCAGTCACACTATGCTGCCATCTAAGAAAATCTAAGTGAAAGCATGGATAGAGTTACCCTGAGCTGTAAATGCAGAACATTAGCATTACAACATCAAATGAACCAGTCTTTCCTTATGAAGTTTCAGGCATAAACCAGAAAGTGGGCGAGATCTTTTCAGAAATCAGAGCTCTTTCCTAGGAGCCTTAAATTTCACCTAATACGTACTTCCTGGCCCACATTTCCCATTGTAATCCCATTAAGGAGAATTTGAGGTCTCTCTGTTGAAATATAACGATAGTATAAACACTCAGTCCATCCTCCCCTGGCTTCAGAAATCATATTTCACAGTTTGACAGTCTTCAGCAATTTAGTAGGGTAGGAGGTTTGGAGTGTTGGTATCGCCTCAGCCACTAAAATTTTGTAGCAGGGGCATTCTCAGAAAAATAATCTATTCTTATAATTACAACTGTTTAACTTAATCAAATCCCAAGAGACAATGAAAAACATTCATTTAGATCAAACAGTTAAGATAAATAAAAGGATCTGTGTTTAAAAGAAAAAGAAATTGATTTCCTAAACATTTTTTAAAGAGTATTGTTTATTTTTCTCTCAAAGTTAGGAGACAACTTTCCATGTTGTAATTCTGGCCAGAAATCCAACCATAAGCTCTTCTCTGCTTCACTGGAGCTCACTGCAGCTTCGTTCTCAGTGACGTAGCCAGATTCCTAGATTAATCTGGATCTTTTGTCCCTGTCTTCTGTGAGTTTGGAAGCAGCAAGACCCCTGCTCAGTTTCCTACCACTTCTAACTGAAATTAAAACCAACAGGCAAGAAATTGGCTTTCCCCTCAAAATTCTTCTTGCAAGAGATTCTATTGAATTTTGTAAATATTGGGGGGTGCGAAGGAGGTACCGTATACACTTCCTATGTAACGATAAGATAAAAAAGATTGAAACTCCTTGTCTTCAAGGGCTTTTCATTCCAACTGGAAAGACAGATAAACTACCATAGCGTAAGCGTGCTTCACCACGTTACATGTGATGTTACAGGTGGAAATAGATATAGAGAGAAAATGACATTAACTGTATATTGAAATATGCTTCATCTCACCATTTCTATGAATGAAGTTAGAGTTCCCAATAAGTATATTTAATACCAAGAGAAAATTCATTACTGATTTCTGCCTTTTCTACCAGCCATTGGCAAACTGGAAATTTTTCTTGACAATTAGCACAAATGACTTTTGAATCACAAATGTTCTGTCTGCTCTTATGGCAAAGCTCCTTTTTAGCATGTTTTGAAGAACATTGATGAGAACAACGTTCTTCACAGAGGTTTTTGATATTTTGAAGGTTGTTGCCGAAGTTCATTAGAACCCCACAGGGCCAGAAAGCAGCTGTGTACATCCTGAAAATATGGTTTTGTGAATCTTGAAAGGGGCGACTAATGAGAGACTGGAGAGCTCTGGTGTGGGGAGATGAGTGGTACCCAGATGGTGCATGGAGGCTCAGTCAGCAGTTCTGAAGAACCAACGGATGCTTTCAGAGAAAAGGGAGGAAGGAAGGCAGTTCAGGACGGAGGATCAGAGAGGGAGCAGAGTGACGGAGGAGCCATGCAGGTCTTGACTCAGGACATTGGGCTGTGTTAAAGCTAACCCAAAGGCCCCAGTCCAGGCTTGCATGGGGAGCTCACAGCAAATACCAGGGAAGGGAAAAAAGGCAAAAGTGGATTCTTTGAAATCAAGGCACTGCTTGAACTGGCTGAAAAGTAAAAGTGCAGCCAAGACCAGGACTGAAGGAGCTTTAACATAAAATTCTTCCCATCTTTTAAACTTTGGGAATCTGTAGCCAAAGCTGCAATCTAAGGAGATGATCATGCAAACAGCTCATCATTTTCACACTATGCATCTGATGACGCTGGTGGCAGACGTTATAATGTTTCTCTGTTGTTCACCTCTAGCAAGATTTTAGCTAAAAATACAAACAAACAAAACAGCCAAACAAATAAAAAATCTTTTTTAAATAACTTAAACTACCACTAAAAGTATATGTCCCCAAGCTGAATGTAGCTTTAATTCACTTCATCACACCAGGAAATAACATCGGGCTGTCTCCCCATACCAGGTTTACAGACCTCTCAGACGATCACACATGGGCACAGGTGGGTTCTGAACAGGTGTGTCTCCCTGGAGTTCATGAGCTATTTTAAAGCTGATAACTTTATCTGTAACTGTGTGCTTATCACATTAACTAGATGTGCTACGTCTCCCAACCAATACAAATAGAGCAAAGCAGACCTGCATAAAAGATAGACATTGTGTAGCCATGATACCTGTATAGCTGTGCCGCAGGTCACAGTCATGAGCAGGATATTGGGACATTTTTCCTTTTCTTAAACCTTCAGCTGATTTTCCTAATAGAGCTCTGGGGCGGTTAGCCAAGGCTGATGTATGCTCCAAGTCTCGCCTCTCTTCTCCACTGGGTCATCTAAGGATCTGCTTGAAAAGTCCTTACAAATGTCAACCTCAGAGAAGGCGACCACTCAGGTACCCTGGAACATCTCCTAACATCGGGTGATGCCTATAGACCTGTCACTTATCACAAACCTTTGACTCCTCCCCCCTCCCACTTGATGGATAGTCTACAGGACCAACAGCTCTTGCTAAACTTGGAGATGAATGACGGTCTCCTCCAACTATGCTGTGTATCAAATTATAAAACAGAAAGCAGCACGTCTCTTGCGGCTGTGGCTATAAGACAGGCACCAATCCTACTACTTTCAAGTCTGCATTGTTTTTCTGACAGTCAACAGAGATTGCTCTTGCCTGTGTATGCAGGGTGTTTCTCTGTGATCACTATCCCCTCGGTGATTGAGGTTGTCCTTTCTGGCAGTTTCGAGACAACCCAGGGAGTCACTGCTGCTCTGACCGCAGTCAGGCAGGGGTGGAACTCTGCACACCGGCCGCATCTTCCAGTCGCTGCCGGGTTTCTCTGCCCTTCGGGAGAGTTTTGTAAAGTGTTGCCCGCAGGCTAGACTGTTAGCTGTAAATCTCTGTTACACTCAGTTTGGAATTTGTGGTGCCCACAGTATCCCAGGGACTAAAAGACAAGAAAGAAAATGTCATCATAAATGCTCATCAGCAGATGAACTGCTAGGACCTCAAACTTCAGACCGACCTCATTTGCAGCTCACGTGGAGCACTTCTTTGTGGGTGTGACATTTTAGGGCCAGAACAGAACATGCGAAAATGTGGAAGGAATTTTTGCAAGTCTGTTAATCTTGCAGGTATCTGAACAATACTGTTGTCAGACTTTTCTATCGGCCAGTGGCTCTGTTCAGCGAGCTGTGCCCTTGCTGCTGTTTTTAGAGGGAAGAGTGGCTCCCAGCTGTCCTCGCTCCTGTGCCCCCAGTGGTTTGTGCTATAGCAAGAGCAGGATTCTGGGTGAGGAACATATTCTGTTTCTGGAATACAGCTGTAGGCTACAGACAGATAAACAGTTTGCAGAAGACCAGACCCAATTCATACCCATTTTTTTTTCAAAATTAGCATCATCCCATTATTTTTACTATTCTCATTCACACCATGACCTGTTCTGTGCCAGGCAACCCCAACAGGCTGTTCATTCTCCTCTGCTTTCTCCTTACTGCCTTCCAGAGCCCCTTGGAAGCACCCCCGCTTCTTATAGCCTTTGAGCACCTATTCTCCCAAGCTCTGCAAACAAAGAGAAGGTGTACTTGAGTATAGTTGTAATTGGGAGGAATCTGGGGGAATATTCAGGCATAATCTCTCTATCACTGGTGGAGAGACTGTATGAAGATAGATCCAAGAAAGAGAGAGGGGGCCTCTCTCAGCTCTATGGAAGGACCACGTCTAAAGGCAAAATGCTCATTTCCTCCCCTCTGGCTCCAGGCACAGTGCTGACTCACATGAAGGGCTAAACACAGTTTTACTGACCTTTTATTCCATTTCGGTATGGTAAGTAGTACGTGGAAGAGTGATCACCCAGTATTCTTCAGGGCATGATCTGCATGATTTTTAAAAATCACTGCAAAAATTATTTTAGGCTGCAAGTCTGATTTTAAGTTAAAAGAGGAGAGTAAATAAGGACTCGAGTTTCAGCCCCGGCTACCTACATTAAATATTAGCCCTCCACTTATGGTAGGAGAGCAGGGGGGAGTTTTCAGTCAGTTCGCAATTTCAAACCCTCATTTTCCATATCTTCAAATTACAAATAAAGAACGTACATACCTCATGGTGTCCTTGTAGAGATTAAAGGAGTTAATCTATTTGAAACCCTTGGTATGATGCCTGGCACACAATACACACTATATAAATATTTGCTACTATGATTTGATTGATTCTTCTGCTCTGGTTGAGACGTTATTGTTTTGCTCTATTTGGGAGCCCCAATTGTTAAGCCTTTCACTTTTAGCCAAGATAAATGTGTCTGAAGCTAAATGTATCCATCACATCACTATTCTTTGATCTAATTAGCCTTATTGTCAACACACATTCACCATCCACCAAAGGCCTACTGTACATCGACCTGTAAGTTACCCATTGATGCTGCTACATACAATGTCTAAAATGCCTCCTTACCTCATTAGGTCGTGGCAGGAGCATCAATGTGTACAGAATCTCCTGTCTTCTGACTTTCAAGAGTGAGTTCTTAGGGGGCGGGCATAGCTCAAGTGGTAGAGTATGTGTGTAGCATGCACAGGGTCCCGGGTTCAATCCCCAGTATCTCCTCAATAAATACATACATAAATAAATAAATAATTTCCCTCCACACACACACACAAATAAAATGAAAAAAGAAAAATAGAGTGAGTTCTTAACTTGCATCTTCTTGGCTTGAAACCTCGTGAAATAACCGCCAACCCAAGGATGTCTTTCCTCATCACATCCACGAACTGACCTGGAATGCTGCACGCAAAGCTGACTGATGGAAAAAGAACATGAAAAATATAAAATGCCATGAGAATTCTTTTCTAATGTTAGCTCAGTTTTGATTTCAGCGAGGTAGCAGCATCATTTGTCTTTCCAATCATAGTCGGCACTGTGACTCACGAGGCCCCATTATTTTTTCACGAGTTACACCAACCTGCTTCTGGCCATCCATCACTACAGCTTGTGTCCTCAACATTTAATGGCACAATGCAAAGGCTTCATGTTAGAAGAGATCTTCAGTCACAAGCTGTTTATGAGAAATACCCGTCATAAATGTTAACCAACATTAATCTTTTCAATATACCTAAGGTGTTACCTCTATCAGTGGGAGCAGCCAGCTTCCTTAAAATGTTTCTTCACTTTTCAAAGTTTTCCTTCCCTTTTTAAAATAATAATCTTTGTATAACAGTGACTTTGACTGGCTCGGTCATAATCTCTTGGTGTCTTATTTTCTGAGATAAAATGTAGAGAACTTTGCTTTTATAACATTTTCTTTCTTTCTAGGAACTTTCAAGATCTTGATGAAATATGCAGTGTCTTTTCTGACACAGCTGAATCTCTCTTGGGTTGAACAACTTAATTTAAAATCATGCTAATCTTTGCATTTTCTTAAGCCCCCCTCCCCAAAACGTAAAACACACAAAAACTTAGAAAACTCGTTACCAAACTTGAGATCAACTGCTCAGCTCTCAAGAATCAACCCTTGAGAGAGGCAATGATGGTAGAAAGAAAAGCTGCTTTTCATCAGAGTGCCAGCAATCTGGGGAGATGGTAGACTCGTGTCCCCCAAAGGCCATCTCCAAAGATTCTGTTCAGCTATGAAAGTTTTAAAAGGAAAATAAGGACAAAATCTCAGTTAATCATTGGGATAAGGCTCAGAGTCATTGCCACCCCACTGCACGCAGGCTCGTCGACTTCTTATGATCTTTCTTTAGATGTTACCTTGTTCACACAGTTTGTTCGTGAGGTGACTAAAGGGGAGCTGGGGAAGAGATCTGGTCATCTGTTAATGACTTACTCTCCATTTCTACTTCTTTGATCTATGGAGAAAGCCAATGGGTCAGGCAAGCTATTGTGTAATCAAAGGATTTGAAAGGTGGGCTAGGACTGAAGATGGGTGTACCGTGAGGGTGCCTGGTCTCAGGTTAGTGATCAGACAAAAGGGGCCTCCTGCAGAGAGCTCTTTCCTGCCAAACGCTGCTGACAAACTCTTCTCTTCCTCTCTTCCTGAAAGTTTTAGAGACAGACAAATGTCTTCTTTCTTATCCACCCAAAGCTCACCATAGTACTTCGTGGATAGTTCCACGTCAACTGAAAACTCCACGTATTTAAATGTATGAAGCCTGAGGTTATGTTGTGGATATCATTTTCTGGCCTGAAAGTCCATATGCAGATCATTGTCACCCAGCTAATTCAAAAAAGTAAAGCAATAAAAAAATACATTGTGCCTTTATTTTTTTTAAGTTAATGACCCGTGGGCATGTATTTCTATAATACGTTGATCAAAGCCCTATAGGACGTGTCAAAAACAAACTGAAGCTCTTAACCTCTTCCTTGAGGAGTTTTATGGGTATGATTCCTTTTAATAAAGAATATGCCGATGGCTCACCTCCTAGTAAAATGTTAGACGTTCTCACGTAGGACGTTTCTTTGGATTCATGTAGGATTTAGCCTAGAAGAGCCTTTAGGAAGCTAATGATAAGTATATATCTATGTAATTCTCTATTGATTAGAATATTTGACTAAATAGACTCTTTCTCTTAACTGTAAAATTTCAAGGGTTCTTAGCAACGTTATTTAAACACACATTGTTTCGGTAAATGTTTACATATATCTTTGATTTGTTTCTGATACAGGGACCTCCTGGAATGCAAGGATTACAACAGACTCTTGGCGAATATTATCTCAAGGTATCGCTTCTTTCATTCACATCTTATATAGAGATTTTACGCGATGGTATTTTTGGGAAAAAAAATCTTAATTCCCAAATGCTCAGACTTCAAAACGTAATCATACATACTTAGCATCTTTCCATAATGAAAATGTTTTTTAAAAAAACCTATTTTGCTCAGCATCTTTTTATAAAATCAAGATTTTATCGTTATTTTAAAGTTTATTTCAAAGTTTGAAAAACTTCATGCCAAAAATTAACACAAAAATCATGTTTCACCACTGACGGTGTCATATTTCTAGCCTCCCTGAGGGCAGAGAGAGGTGATTTGCTATCTTAAAGCTCTGTGTTGTGCAACCGGTGATGGATTTTTTTTTTTTTAATCAAAACTACAATCTCAAACAAACATTTACACACTGCAGGTCAAGACTGGAAGCCCCCCACTTTTCAGGAAGGAGCCACTTTAACTTCCCCAAGAGTTTTAAATTACAGTTAGTTTGGATCGAATATGACATGGGGGAGTAGAGTTTTCTCCCAGTTCTTCAAGGAAGCACAACAGATAGAGAAAGTGTGTCGGTAACTAAGCGAGACTCAGAGACCTAAGTGAGACCATTGACTGGCTCATCGTTCAGCACATATTTGGGGTCTGTTCACTTTGTGTGGGGCATTCTGTCCCCTGATTAGAATCCTTTATCATATCCCAGTTTATCCTTGATAAGCTGCTGGTGAGTACTGGCACCAAACCCGAGGAAGCAAATTTGAAGGCACCCCCCCTTTTATGTCTCTCCTGTGTCTCCCTTTCTGTAAATTCCTTTGATGACTGTTGTTCCTCTGCTTTAAAATCCCAAAGAAGCACTCTGTGCCCACGCCAGCAGAGGCCTTGCAGAGAGCAGGTGCTCAGAAAAGAGTTTGTGAAATGACAAGCTAACTAATTCAAAAACCCCAATTCTTCTCTAATCAGATTAAGTCTAACATAAAGACTTCCATCATTTGCGGTCGATAAATTTAAAATCAAAAGTGTGGAATTACTCAGCACTAAAAAGAAATGAAGTCCTGCCATTTGCAGCAACATGGAGCGACTCAGAGGCATTATGCTACGTGAAATAAGTCAGACAGAGAAAGACAAATATCGTATGATGTCCCTTATATGTGGAATCTAAAAAATGATACAAATGAACTTATTTCAAAACAGAAATCACAGACATAGAAAATAAACTGTGGTTACCAAAGGGGAAGCGGGTTGGGGAGGAATAAATTAGGAGTTTGGGATTAGCAGATACACACTACTGTATATAAAATAGATAAACAACGGGGTCCCACTATGTAGTACAGGGAACTACATTCAATACCTTGTAATAACCTATAATAGGAAAGAATCTGAAAAAGTGTATATATATGTATATAGAACTGTCACTTTGCCAAACACCCGAAACTAACACAACATTGTAGATTGCAGATCAAATACATTTCAACCAAAAAATGCAAAAACAAGCAAACAAGCCAAAAAATAAGTATGGACAGTCTCTTACATTTCCTGAATAATCCTATCTTAAGTTTTCTCATTTACTTAGACTTTCCAGGGAATATTATATTAGTAAGAATGTTTGAGGTATATTTTATGATTCTTTATTAAACATTTCCTGAATAGACCTTTACTAGCTTTTTCAAAGCATGAAGGCTTGGCCCACACTGAAAAAATGTAGAAGCATATCTAAATCTAATCAATTAAAATACAGTGCTTTTCTGTAATGATGTCTACTGGTAGAAAATAGGATTTATCATAAATGCTTCAAAATAATGAGAATGAGTTAGCTCTGATGTCACACAGTCAGCTAGAAAAATTTAAAGAACACACTATATTACTACCACCTTTGGTATAAAACTTACCGAGTTGCTACTTAACCACTTAAATATTTGCTGTCCATTGCAAAACTTTTAAAGCTCATATCTTTACAGATCTCCCAACGCTACTTCTGTCTATATTTTTTCTTGCTGAAGAGTCACTTTTCCCTTAAATGAAGATATATAGTGCACTTATATTTTAGAGTCTAAAGTTGAGAATGTACATTGTTTTTTAACTTTAAGGTTATATTTCCCCCAAAATAGGGCTGACCAGAGCAGGCAAATGGAAAGTCCTGCTAACAGCAAACTAGTTCTTTGAATTTAGCTATTAACTCACCTCAGAGAACTCCAGCTATTGTTACTAACCATTACGGGACTGAGGCTCAAATGTATTTAGTCCACGTATGCTCAAATGTAGTCACCTCAGAGTTGGAGCTTAACTGGAGAAAGAGGAGAGACCATAGCTTCTCTTCCCCAAGTGAAACATTATTACCTTTAACATCAGAAGGCTTTAGACCCATCTGGGAATTAATGGAAGGAGGCTTTCCAAATACTTGACTGTTTCCTTCTGGGAATAGAGCTGTTACGTTGAGATCCCACCAGGATGGACGGACGAAGTGGGGTCCACCTTCCCAGTGAGCATCCTTCCTGGATTGTTGCCTCCAGCTCCTCACCCTCAGCATCTCAAAAGACAAGCCCAGATTTGCCATGATGAGTGAGATGCACATTTTCACTTGGCAGGGTCCCTCCCCGCCCTACCTCGCCCTCATCTATTTTGGATAAGGAGGTCATTTCAATTTGCAGTTCACTACGAGCTTGATGGTCTGGCTGTAGCAAATAAGCATAGAGAGAAAGGCAGCCCTGAGTGAAACTTTCCTGAAGATTCAGTGAGGGGCCATGCATGGAAACATACAATGTGTCATCCCAAGGTTAAAATACTCTTCCCTGTTAAATTGGCGTTGATGTGTATAATGTCTGCACTTGCGTCCTAGCCCTCAGTGCGCCGGTTTGCAGCAGCTCCAGCCGTCCTGCAGCCTGGATCCTGCTGGACCAGCTGCCCACAGGAGGATGAGAAGCAGACCGTTCATACTCTTCTCCCCATTTTAACCCGAAATAGCTCACCGGCTCTTTCTCTTGTTCGAGGAAAATCCTTTGGCCCTTATACAAGAGTTCATCTTTTCCCCTTCAGTTTTACTTACATCATCAGAGGGAGCAGCTTAAGTATAAGAAGCCCTTTTTTCTTACAGCACAAATCCAAAAGTCAATTGGAGAAGAAAAAAGGGAAGTGAGGAATAGAGAGAGGCTTAGGAGGAAGATTGGACGATTATATGTTCATATGTATTTTTGCATATCCACTTGAGGATGCAAAGAATAAAAGGTAGCTTTTCCTCTCCATCACAAAAATAATTTGCAAATCGGCTGCTCCCATCCTGCCGGGTTGTTTGCAAAGAAGCAAAAACACTGAGCATATTCTTTCCTTTAAGGAAAATCTGCTCACCATCCAGCAAACTGCTCTGCCTTGTCTCCAGCTCTGGGAATTTTAATAAAAATTTGATAGGCTCTGTCAACTGCTAAAGCCATCAGATCCAGAGCTCCCTACAACACTCTAGATGGGAAAGGGAAAAAAAAATGGCATTATCGGTGGAGGCCAAGTACTGGCAGATTTTACATTTGATACCGTTCTTAAAGATCCACGTTGAAAATGTGTAGTTGGTTCTCTTACAACAGCACACTCGGGGCAATTTGCAGAGAACGAGTCTCATCTGTTGGAGATTGATGCTGTGCCTCCCAGCAACCAATTCCAGTGTTCACGTCTCCAAATTGTTGATCCAAATAACCAATTTGCTAGCAACATAATCTATTTTTCCTTTCAAGCATCAAATCACAACTTCATTTCCATAGATGCAGGCTAGAAAGAACAGAAAACACTTCTCCAAAATCAAATATTCAAGGTCTTTCTGAGCAGTGAGTTAAACCCGAAACATGGCACAGGAAGTGGAGACTTCCGTGGGCACGCTAGAGGCAACCCTTCTGGGTCTGGAAGGTTTAGAAATAAAATTTAAGCCCTGACTTCCTGTTTCTCCCTGCCAGTGCCCCAGGATGCCTAGCTTTGGCAGACATCATGGATTTAGGCACAGTCATATGGATTTTTGGATTTTAGCATGATTACAGAGAACGCTGAAACTCCCCTGGGTCTGCCCCGCCCCTTGTGGGCCACCACCGGAGCTGGTGAACTGTGTTCCTGCGAGTAACTGAGAAGGTGGACTTAGAGACGCCCTTAGGGTTTCTCTCCATGTGGGCACAGCTCTCCTAGGCCACATGTCATATTTTGACTCGCTAGGGCTACTCTGACAAAGCATCGTAAGCACAGCGGCTTACATGTTGGAAATGTGCTGTCTCACACTTGCAGAGGCTGCACGTTCAAGATGAAGGTGTTGGCAGGGTCACACTGTCTCTGTAGGTGCAAGAGGGATGGGTTCCAGGGCTTGCTCCCAGGTTCTGGTAGCTCCTTGGCTTGTGAAAGCAAGACTCCCATCTTCACATGGTGTCATCCCTGTGCACATACATGTCTCTGTGTCCAAAGTTCCTTTTTATAAGGACACAGTCATTTGGAATTAGGGGTCCAGTCTACTCCAGTATGATCTCATCTTAAAGAATTACTTCTGTAAGGACTTATTTCTAAAAGAGGTCACATGCGGAAGTCCTACGGGTTAGGACTTCAACATATGAATGGGGGTAGTGGACACAATACAGTGAATAATAGATAACATGTTTTTATTTTAACTTTATGTCCCTCCCTCATGCTTAGCATTGAATAAGTCCCCCAAGGACTAAGCTGGGGGATTTTTAATGACCCTTTGTCCTGTGAGGTGGTCTGTTTATTAGATTGAGTCATAAGAAATTGCTGATACGTGGCCCTTAGGAGCCCACAGAAATGGCCATCTCTTATGGTTCAGCCTGTACATGTGTGGACGTTCCCTTTTTTCCAAAGAATACCCTTTTCGGGGAGCCTGAAATAGCTTGTGTCTTCCCACTTGCCCAGCTACAGTTTCCAAAGTTCCATCAGCTATTGCCCACAAGAGACAGAGGACGTGTTCTCATATCCAAGAATTATTTTTTAATTTTTAAAAAATTTTTAATTGAAGAACAGGTAATTTACATTATTATATTAGTTTC